GATACAGGAAGAGAAACACTATACAGATGATGAAAACTTGTTCGATGAAGAGCTCCCGGATGCTCCATAATGTTTTCATTTATTTGCTTTGCTTTCGTAAATACCGTTAATTCATGGCCCCTTAAGTAGGTTTCCTTTAAAAGAAAATCTAAAGAAATAAATCACTATATGCTTCTTCATGTCTCTCTAGCTAGGGCCTTTCGTGTCTCGACATAATTATCTTAAAGCAGAATGCTTGATACAGCTTTGCCTAGGTGATAGTCATAGAGGAAGCAGATTGCCTAAGTATATAACATACAAATTCATTACCTCTTTAAAAACGCACATTCTCGACATACTGCAAAGCTTGAGGACACATTGTTTTAGGACACGTCTTCGTTATTCTTACATATTTTTCAATTCGTTTTTCTTTGTCTGAAAATGTTAAAGTCAAGCAATAACGTGATTTATGTGAAATATGCAAACTAGGGATTCGGGTCTGTCTATGGCTACTATGGGGGTTCGAAATGGCCTACCACAATTTGTGTTTTGGCTGCTACTGCTGCTAGTCGGACATAAGTGTCCACTGCGTCCTCAAAGAGTTAAAAGACATCTGTGATTTCTTGGACTTCGATAGGTGACGCGAGTGTGTCTACTTTGTGGTCGAACGACGACTGGTGGAAGAACAATGAAAACTGTGGTCAGAAAGCACCCAAGTACACCAACGCCCACCACCTGCACCACCTGCTTCCCAAGGCCAAAATTATCGTGATCCTTCGAAATCCCACAGACAGGTGAGACGAAAGGGCTGAGACTGAGTTTAGCACCACTCTTTATTCAATGTAGATTTTTTGTAACCCTGTAGAGTGCTCGTATTAATGTCTATTTTCAATAAGTCGATAAGAGTAAAAAGACTAAAAAATTCTCAAGTACATTTTAAGGCATGGGTTTGATTTGAGATCACTGGAGTTATAGTTTGCTTACTAGATTTATACTTCCCATACTTCCCATAATGCTTACGACTCTCTAGTCATTACCTTCCGGCTTACAATTGCAGCAAAGGGAAATTTGAAATGCAAGGCATATAATTTATTGTATAACTTAAAACTCATTACAAGTCCTAAACTTCCCTTTGTTTCGTTGCCAGTGTTGGCATGCGTTTTATCCAATTGAATGTTAACATTTACAGTTGTTCTCTTAAAAATTGTTTACAATGAATAATTTGTTAGATCTATTAATATTATTATATTATTTGCTGAGAATTAGATTTCGTTTTAAAAAATTACAATGTATTGCTTTATTGAAAAATGACAGGATATTTATTTTCTCCTGAATATTTATTCCGTAAAATTATTTTATTAATCGGTTTCCTAAAGTTCCTTCTTTGATAATTGCTGCTGTTGTTTGTTGTGACTGGTCTCACTTCTTAGTGCTCATTATTTTTCATTTCAGGCTGTACTCGGACTTCTTGTTTTTTCACACATCCTCAAAAACTCAACAAGTTTTTCACGAAGAGGTTTCCAAAGCCATTGACTCTTTGAACGAATGTATCCTTGACGTGGGATTACGTGCATGTGTCTATAATGCTACCATCGCAGCCAAAGCTAGGGTAAGACTTTGTTTTATATTATATTCCTAAATAACAATTTACTTGTTGTTTTGTTTTTGTTTTTGAATTTTTTGGAGGGGGTTTCTTCACAAATACACATTGATCTGGTTAAGATGTTCATTTTGTCGTTTACCGCCTCGCATGAAAGTAATTTTTCAATATACTTTGATGGAGCTGTACGGCCCCTTGAGCGAATGAAAAGTGCAAATCGTACTCGATTTTTTGTTTTCTAATGTGAATGTGCAATATATTCGCTTTGTCATTGTAGAAACGTCAAGGCCTTCTTGATCCTTTTCTATAACACTTTCCACTTGGCAAAATGTTTGGCTTTCGAAACGGCCAGAAGGTGATGTACCCATGCAAGTGCAACACAACAAAAATTTACTTATCCATAACATGCTCAAACAACTCTTATTTTTTCTATTTTTTGTTCAGTGCAACTGTGCAAAGGAATAGTTGATAATTGTATCGCCTCTGCTTCCTTTCCTTCGTGGTTCTGGGCCAAAAGAAATGAGTTATGTTCATGTATCTTGGGGGAACTCAAACAAAATAATCAAGGACAAAGAAATCAACTCAGTCGGTACAGATGTAACATAGTCCGCCATCTTTTCTCCGTCAGGTGCGACTTCGCATTGGCCTGTATCAGGTCTTTCTAGAAGAGTGGTTGTCCTTGTTTCCACGGGAACAGCTGTTGGTGATACGCCTGGAAGACTACGCTCTCCGGCCGCTCACCACCATGAAGACGGTCCATAAGTTTCTTGATCTCAGTGAGTACATGCACTGTCAGAGTTACAGAGGATCGTCGTCTTGACTGTATACTTGCTTCGTTACGTAGTTTTTGTGTCTTTATATTCCTCTACGGCTTGGAATCTTCTTCTCCTTCTCCTCCTCCTCCTCCTCCTCCTCCTCCTC